ATCTCATCTTTTTTTCATTTTTTCTTATTTTTGTATCCAGATACTTATATACATTGTATCTAACTTAACTCCTCAGACATTATCTATAAAATATAACATACCTGCTCAGTAGTTCATTGAATGTTTTAATTGATCTGTTTGTTGAACAATCAATACTTGTTAAAAATGATGGGACAATTTCTTACAATATATTTATTTAAGGAATAACTGTCTTATTTTTCGGATTCATGAATTTAGGTGATCAATGGATTGGCTTGTGTGATAATTTGCATAAACGCCTCATAAAATTATCACACAAGCCAATCCATTTATCATCTTCATGAAGTTGAAAAATCTTACAGTTATTCCTTATATATACATGCTTTGATTTCGCCAATCCACGGACTCCAAGTCTGCTTTTCTCTAGGTGTTGTCCCGCCCTGAACGTGTTTTTTTTGGAACCGCTCTAAAAAAATCATGAGAAAATCAATTACATTTACAACTGGTAATGTTATCTCGGACGAAGACATTGGAAATCTGAATGTAAGCCCATGTTTACACTTTCTGAGTATAAAGAAACTGTCTTTCTCAGGCGTTATTATTTTTGTGCTAATATCTTCTACATAATAAGCTTTGACTATTTTCCACTTGATGTAGACTTCCTGCGAAGCTCAATTAAAAATCAATGATAGAGGCACTCTTGCTCATCATAACTATGCACCTAGTAAGTTTACTTAATACCTATGAGCAGAGAAAATATTTTCAGAGAATTCAAGTATTTTTACTATATAATCAATAGAGCCCCGCCCTAACTCCAGAACCCCTGACCCTGGGGCCATAAAATTCACAATAGTGAGTGTCTCAGTCAAATTTGTGAATTTTATGGCCCGAGGGTCATGGATTAGGGTGTTGGGGGGCTCCCTTGATTATAAAGTGAAAAAATATGAATTCTTTGAAAATCTTCTTTTCTGCTCCTTGGTAGTAAATAAACTAACTAAGTGTATAATTATGTTGAGCAAGAGTGCTTTTACCAAAATTATGAAATTTATAGCCCCAGGGTCAAGGGTTCTGGTGTATGTAGGAGGAGGGGGGACTCTATTGATTATATAGTGAAAATACATTAATTCTATGAAAACATTCTTCTCTGCTCCTAGGAATTAAATAAACTAACTAAGTGTATAGTTATGATGAGCAAGAGTGCTTTTATCTAAATTGTACATTTCATGGTCCCAAGGTTAGGGGTTCTGGTGTTGAGGCAGGGTTAGTTTGATTATATATTGAGAATACGTGAATACGTTCTATTTCCACCATGGAAGAGTTATAGTTCTTAGTGCGCTCTTTTGTGAAAAAGTCGGAGAAGGTACAAATCTCGCGGGATTTCTGGGACAAACGTAACATAAACATATAAACAACACGTTGAATGTCGATGAACAAATCCTCACAAAATGCATATGAAATATTTTATTGTTGTGGACTTTATTTAAATGAAGAGTAGAGATGACGAGGATATTGATTTACATCTTTTGGTGATCGTATATATCTAGTTTTCGTAATGGTACATTTTAACTCAATACACATACCTCGGAAATGTCGTATTTTTAATAATAGACGATAAAGTTAGGGGTTTCGCTTTTATTCATATGTCTTTTAGTTCTTTATTCTTAGTTAGAATGACAAATGCACTTAACATTTTAAACTGGATTGATACTGGCATGTTTTGTATAATCCGCATTACCATGCTGTCCCAGTCAGACGACCAAACGCGCCTCTAATTCTGAAGAGTACACTAATGGAAATACAACGTATTCTTTGAAAAACTAACTAAGTACAACTAAGTTCCTATTTATGATGAGCAAGAATGCCTCTTCTAAAATTACTTATTTTAACGATCAAACACATAGATTCAAGAGGGAGGTAGTGAATTATATTAGACATTATGAATTGCTAATTTTGAGTATTCGAAACATTTTAACTTTTAAAATACCATTAAAAATAGATGAATAAAAATGAAAGTGGCTAAGTTCAAACCAACAAAAAATAATTGATCGAAATAAATTCACCTCTTATGAACGCTAGTACTGGCATGTGTTTTTATTTGGCCTAGATCTTAAATCTAAAACAAGTCCTAAAGGTATAAATATAAATTTAAAAAAATCAAACTGAGTGCAAAGAAAGGATATCGACCTTCTTTAAAAAAAAATAAATCTCATGGCATTTGTCGAAAAAACAAATAAAAATTATCTTATACTGATCTTTTTGTTAAAGACACACTGAACTCGACCTTGTTGTTTACATTCATAATTCTGCTGATTCTGCAGTTCTGTATGTTTTATTATCTTGATTTAAACGCAGCTCGGACGAAAGCTGTTGAATTTTTATATTTAAAAAAGAAACAGGTAATTTATATAAATTTACGAAAGAACGCTTTCAACAAATTCTATTTCAAGAAAAAAAAATATAAGCTTACCTTAGCTGAAATCTTAAGTAAGCTTTTCTGGTCACATTTTGTCAGCAGTCCGTCAGTAAATTAATTGTTCACATTTTTGACTTCTTCTACATCAAAGGTGTAATTTTAACTGAACTTGGCACATCCTTCGGTGAAAACGATTCAAGTTTGTTCAAAAGAAGAGCCACGTCAACATTGATATAGAGTGTTATCTCACCTACATTGCTTCGTAAATGTTAACCTAAAGTATCTATTTAACTCCGATTAAACTCAGTGTCCCCTTCTCCCTTCTCGTGATCAGAACCACACTCTTATCAATTTCCGAGGAAATCTACCGGCAAACAGTTTATAACCATTTTCTTCGTTATACAATTCACAAACACTACCATATACGGCATGCATGTCGTTGTTATTTTTGCCTTTAGCGTTGCACTTCCTCGGCGTTCGTTAATTGTGAAGTCAAACTAAAACGCATGCTTTAACTTTTTTTACACCCTTTCTACATATTATGGTGTTTTGAATGCAACATGTTTCCATACACTATCTATGCAAAAGACATGACGTTAATGTGCAGGACCCGGTTGTATCAACGGTTCATTAAATTTAATGAATTATTAAGCCTAATGATTCATTAAATTCTTAATGATACATTAGTTAATAAAGTCATTAAAGTGTGTTGTACAAAACCCTTATTAGAGTCTTATTTTTTAATGAATCATTAAATATTTAAGAATTCATTAAAGACTTATTAACATTAGGGCAATATCCCACAATGCAATGCATTTATACTTCCGGGGCGTATCTGTGGAAGTTTTCTTTTGCTTACAAAATACCCATAAGAAATAAGCTCTAATCGATAAAATAGTGTTTTAAAAAATAAAACCGAATAGAAATCTTTTAAATTCTGACGTGAAAATTAATAAAAAAAATTACGTCATTTAACGTCTGCGAGTAATTTGAAGGATATAAGCCTAACATAAAAACATAAACATAAAAAAACGTCATGTCATCAAAAACTGCACCAGAATTACTGACGGAATTCAATTTAAATGTTATAGAAATCAGGGAAAGAAAAATTAAACTTTTAGCGAAATTAATCTTTTAACCAAACTTACGGCGGAGAGCAATTTGTATACCATAAATACATGGGGGGGGGGGGGGAGGGGGGACTCCCGCTCCTTCAATTTTTTTCTCTATAAAATCTGAGGTCGACACATCTTTTTTCTTATTTATGTATTCTTAATTGAACTATACCTGATTGATACTGTAACTCTTTTACAAGTATCAATAAGCTGTTCATATTCGTGCTTACTACATTTCACTTCGATATTAAATTGAATCACACAAACAATGAAACTCATTCAAGGAATGTACATGTATAAATGATATAAATGATTGGAGGGGGTTCTATTAAAATTCAACTTATTTCTAACCATACGAATAGAAGAAAGTATCAATATCATGATAGCATAGTCACGAAGGATGTTCAATAACAACAGAAAAGGATAAAATACGGTAGGGTATCACGGTGCAAAATTGAATCACGTCGGTTTACCTTTTCTGCAAAAAAGATTTCATATACATGTATGTATTGTACATTTGATTATGTTCTGCATTTTTTTTTTGCATTAATTTATTAGCGTCTTTCCGATAATTTTCTAGATGCAGACACAGATAAATTTTTAGATATCTTAAAATACGTTTATTTATAAAATAATAGCTTGATGAGATATCATTCTACTACAATGTAACTAAATTTTTTCCATTATGATTTCCAAGAAAAAAATACTATAAATACATGTTTATAAAATGTTGGGTTGGCAGGTATATATGATTTAAAAAATCCCATAAAGGCATACACTCGTATTTTAAAAATATTATAAATATGTAAAGAAGGTTATACAAGCTTTTTAAAATTTATTCTGCTCAAAATATATCTTTCTCAATGCAATGAATAATTTATAACATCTTGACTTTAGCATCGAATAAAAAAAAAACGTAAAAATGTCTCTGAAGCGATTTTTTTTCATTCATTGTTACATATACTTGTGATAGAAGTATCAGGCTTGTGGCAGTATTTAAAAAAAAATAGTTAAAGTTTTTTTTCTGTAGAATTAATTTACATGTAAAAAGATGTTAACACGCAAAAAAATGATAATATGTGCCCATATTTTGTGATGATAGGCTGAAAGGTTTGTGTGTGGAAAGTGGGGGGGGGGGAGGGGGCTTGCTGTTACAGTATATAAATTAAGATCTCAGATATATTTTTCATACCCGTATACTTTAAAATAGGAGCTGTTTTTATTCTTTTACTGTTTTACCTTTGCTACAAAAACTAAACCACTGCATAGATGATGACGAAAGAAATGACGTCACTAAGTTTACAAATATACACGAAGGTATTTTGGATTAACTGGGATTACAGTTGGGATTTCTATTGTGATTTGATTTAAAGAAGCATCTTTATACTTTTAAATTTGTTGACAAGGTAGGTGATGTAAATGTGATTCCAAATGTCTTATTGTCTATATTGAAGGTTCGACAGACCATCCATTATTTTATTTTTAAAACGGTATCATTTCCGAATTTCCTCGTCCATAATGTTCAGTGAAAAAGGCTCACAAAGGGCACTGATTCGTTTCCTTCTGCCAGGCGGGCAAAACATATAGTAGGCCGCCATACTTAATGACCATTTAATGAAGCCCCTTAACCTTCATTAAAATTGAGGAATTTAATGAAGGTTTAATGCACCGATTCGTTCATTAAAACTTTGATACAACGGAATTTCATAACACATTAAAAATAACTAGTTTAATGAAGCTTTAATCATTCATTAAATGTTTATACAACCGGATCCAGTTTTGAAAAATTTGGTAATTTGACTTCACAATTAACGAAATACACAAATACCAGACTCTGGAGTCATGGCAGGACCCTGGCCATCTGGCACAAAGTGAAGTCACTCGAAAGTTAGGATCACACACCATCTGAAAATTTTCAAGAGTACAAATATTGTTATTTCAATTAATATTTTCATTCAATTGTTTGGGAAACACTGTTGAATCAATTATGATGATCCACACTGGCAATCAATTTGCAATGGGTGGGTTGACAACTAAGTAACTTAAAATGTTGAACGTCATAATATAACAAAGAATTATTATATTTTTTTCCCTCATCTTAAAAAATAGATGTGTAAACATAATTGTATAATTATACATATATATAGTCGTCTAAAAATCTCTTAATCAATGTGTATATTCTACATAATACCTGAACATTGAGACTGTGAAATCCTTTTCTGTTAACAAAGTCAGCTTCATTCTCAGTTGGTGTTGAAATCCTGATCTGTGTCCCATCAACACAACCTAAAACTTTAGGAAATCCTGAAAAATAAATGGCAATGTCTCAAGAACTTTTTTGATTGAAGGGTGCTTGGTGCCAGACTGCTGTATATAAAATTTTCATATTGTAGACTATCTCAGAACAAAGTTGAGCCATATTTAGAGCATATTTTCCATAATTAGAAATTCTTGGATGAAGGGGATTCAGGTTTGTTCAAATGAATAAAATAGCATATATGTATAATATAAAATCTGATGAATAACAGCAAGATCAAACTACTTGTCATATTGATACTGAGTGTTTAAATATAAGTTTGCTTATATCCATGACTTCTTGAAAGTATTAGATTTGGGCACCAAAATTTGTGGGAATGTTATAGACTTAAGAAACAAAAAAAAACTTATCTTTGTAATTACATACAATAATGTACAATAAGTTTAAAATGATAGTTTATAATTATAATTTCTTAAAGTTGTTCTCAAATTCCTTATCAAGGACTTATTATTTTAAATCAATTTAAGTTATTTATTATTTAGAAATATGTGCAAGAGGATAAATATTAGGAATTAAGGGACTCCGACCCTCAGCCAGGAAGGACAACTCTTTAATTTATAATTTAATTCAAAAAGTCTTTAAATGAAGCTTGAAAATTAAATATTTTCATGCAACAATATACAATTAATTAGCCCTTGTGAGGTCAACATGGTGAAATAAGGACCCGAGACCTGGCCCACGAGGTGACCTGCCCTGACCGAGGCCGCGTAGCGGCCGAGGTCAGGGCAGGTCATCGAGTGGGCCAGGTCGAGGGTCCTTATTTTACCATGTTGAACTCACAAAGGGTAATTAATTGTTTCATTATACCGATATATATTGAAAAGTATGAATCTTTAACCGTTATCAATTCTTTCTTTGATCGGGATCGGGATTCGGTACAGACCGGATAGTGAAGTTGTTTACATTGACGTCTGCAAATCGTGTAAGTTTTTGCATCATGATTTACTGATTAGAACAATATTTGGTTCATAGCGACATACATTGTTATAATTTACGAATACGTTTCCTCCACACAGTCAAAATCTACCACAGAACTCAACTCTTTAAAGAGCTGCCTCTACTTCATTCCATGAACTGAATATTGTAACGAAATATTGAAACGATAAAATTTTACCGTATTCTTTATGGTAAATGCAAAACAGACCATGCACAATTTTAAAAACATATTTGTTTTTTCGAATAATTATTATCTTATGCATTTAATTCACCCAAAAACCAATTTTTTGATTAAGCGGTCATTTTTAGCGGTCATTAAAAATAATGACCGGGTCATTATATCCCACGTGCAATGATTCCTAGGTCAGAATTGCTTTAAACAGTACCATTTGGAGTCATTGTTGTGTTTTAAAGTTTTCTAACCAGCCAATCAAATTCGAGTATTATCAATAGAGGTATAATAATTTTCAATACATGCCTCTCAATGTGCTTCAATGTTCTTTGCAAAGCTCAATAAATCACTTCTAATATCATATCATGTTAGTATACATAGGTATCGTTTTCGGGATAAAAATTTCTACTTTTAATTAGACCTTTCTGAGAAGTTTAAAGAACCTTGAATCACATTGAGAGGTGTATAATGAAAATTGTTGCATGAAAAGATTTAATTTTCAAGCTTCATTTAAGGACTTTTTGAATTAAATTATAAATTAAAGAGTTGTCCTTCCTAGCTGAGGGTCGGAGTCCCTTAAGTCAATATGAAGTTTTTAAGTATATATTTGATACTATTTTTCGTCATTTGTTTGACATTTTATAATAATAAAATACTTTGAAATGTAAAATATTTTTAATGCTGTAGTTTCTTATATCGATAACAAAGGCTTATAAATTCACCACTCTTGGATCCACCACAGATTTAGTTTCATATCAATAGCGTCATTTAGACGAACTCTAATGAGCATAGAAGGCAAAAAAAAGTCTCCTTAGATTTGACCAAAGTGATGCATCTCTGATCGTGTATTTCATCAAGTTTCACCATTGTGTAGGTAGATTTCGAGAATTTATTTTGTTGAATGGTTGCTCTTACTTTATATGTGTACTTGTAATTATGCGACTGCGAAAACTATTGAGTTATTAATCACTATCAGTGCTTGTACTTTCGTTTTTGTAGATAGCCTGAACAATGCTACGTATACGTACCTGCTATTCTGCGGAACCCCTCCATGACTTTTGCAGCCCTTTCTCCTGCTGGAAAGTTTATAAAATTCCTGAATATCTGGACAATTGCCCCTGCCACGTCTTTAACAATGCGCCCAACGGATGACTCGGAGATGTTGAGGCTGTCTCCCACAAGTCTTAAATGTGCCCCCGTGGCAATAAAACGAAGAAATACAAGCACTTGCAATAGAGGGGGGATTGCTTGGTTCCTTTGTGTATCTCTGCTCAGTGTATTACTCAAGCCGTTAGTGATGAAGACGATAGACGCAGGCCGAAATATGTACCTTTGATAAACCTCATCTTCTTCAAGACTTTCTAGAAGATTAAGTCTGTCTCGAAATACCCGTGGGCGAGGCAGAGCGAAGGGTCTTCTGTTTCTACGTCTATGTGCAGCAGCCATTTTGTTCTTTGAGAATAGACTTAAGTAACCTGTTTTGTGTACTCAAATATTTGAGAATAAAACTGAATTTGAGAATTTTTACTCAAAAGTTTTATGGCTGCGGCTGAGTCTGAGAATTGGGGAGTTGAGAAAATTATTAGACTTGAGAACATTCTCAGACTTAAGTATGGTTTATGGCAGTGCACCCTAATGGATATATTAACTATACCATGAAGAACCTTAAAAACAAATTTTGAATTGATATCTTTAATTAAATACTGTTTAACGTCCCTCAACAGAATATTTCACTGATATGGAGACGTCACCATTGCCGTTGAAGGGCTGCAAATTTAGGCCTATGCTCGGCACTCAGGGCCTTTGAGCAGGGAGGGATCTTTATCGTGCCAAACCTGCTGTGACACGGGCAATCTAATTAGTCCCCTACCGGTGAAACCGGGGGGGACTATAGGTTTCCTCTGCGTCTGTCCGTCCCCGTCAGTCTGTCCCACTTGGTTTTTCCGCACTTTTTTTCTAAACGCTTGCAGCTATTTTGGTACATGAGTGTATCTTAATGAGTTACAGATCAAGTTTGAATTTCGTTTTGCTTCATTGATTTTTGACAGAATTATGGCATTTTGAATATTTTTCATTTCCACTTGGTTTTCCGCACTTTTTTTCTAAACGCTTGCAGGAATTGAGCTGAATTTTGGTACATGAGTGTATCTTAATGAGTTACAGATCAAGTTTGAATTTCGTTTCGCTTCATTGATTTTTGACAGAATTATGGCATTTTGAATATTTTTCATTTCCACTTGGTTTTCCGCACTTTTTTTCTAAACGCTTGCAGGTATTGAGCTGAATTTTGGTAAGTTTGTGTATCTTAATGAGTTACAGATCAAGTTTGAATTTCGTTTCGCTTCATTGATTTCTGACAGAATTATGGCATTTTGGATATTTTTCATAATCGCTTAATTAAGATCGGGTTCAAGCTGCGCTAACTTCCGATTGTCAACAAAAATATGAAGCGAGGAAAAGACGATGGATAAATGATTTGAATTGTCGTCTTAATGTTTATTATTTTATTAGATTTAAGGCATTTACAACTTGAAAATCTTTCAGTTTAACCTTGGACATGACTTTTGCACATTAAAAAATGACATCCTGAAGAAAAAGGGGAACCCGGTAGGGGGCATTCAGAATGCTTGTTAAAATTAGATGTTAGATCTGCTTGCATACTTGCTACACTAACATCTAAAAACATCCCATAAAGGGTCACGTCAAAGGTCAAATTCGAAACACCTCTAGACTTATTAGAATCGATTTCCTCAACATATATGCGATGATTTTGCAGCGACAATTTGATTGGTTGATAGATTTTGAACCCCCTTATGGGATGTTGTTAGATGTTGGTGTAGCGAGTATGCGAGCGGATCAAACATCTAATTTTAATTAGATTGTGACACGGGGCATCGGTTTTTACGGTCTCATCCGAAGGACCGCCCCATTTAGTCGCCTTTTATGACAAGCAAGGGGGTACTGAGGATCTATTCTGACTGGATCTCCACGAGGAACAGAGAATTGGATTGAATTAAACAATAGACACTATTATGTATGCAAGGTTGCAGGAGACCTTCCATTTTTTTCAAATCCTAAAATTTTCATTTGTTGGAAAGTCATTTATAACAAAAATATGTAGGACTTGAATAATAGGTTTACTTATGATCTTATAGATGAAAATGGTTCCTGTTTTGTTTGTTTTTTTTATTTTTTGAAAATGGGCGATGGGTTTAGACGCTGTTATGAAGAAATTTAATGTAATTGATTACATTCCTGATTTCAGTTCCTTCCTTTAGAAACTTTTTTGATTTCTGTGCTTTCTTTTTTCTATGCTTTCTAGACCCCTCTAGAAATTAAACTGACTTTACGAATAAGAATTTGAACTATAAGACCATTATCATATACATTTGTAAATGTCATATAATCTGTCTCTGTCCCCTTTTAATTCTTTGCTCTTTTGTAACATTTAATGTTTTTGTCAAGTGTATCTAACTGTAAAAATGTTTCAAGGGTAATAAAGCAATGGCTTCAAGTTTCATTATCTCTTGAGTTTCACGCAAACGTGAAAAACTACAATTTCTGATTTTTTTTTTCAAATCATAGGGTGACCATCGAGTACTTAGCTTTTGTATTGTCAAATATTCCTTTAAAATAATGTGAGATATCCTTAAATTGATGCCTCTTAAACTTGAGTCATGTTTTAAAGTCAATCGAATAAGGCCACACCAATAAAATTTATTGTTCGTCGGACCCGTGCGCTCTTATTTAAACAAAACTATACAAATAATATAAATTTGAAATTCCTGCACCATTGGAATTCTTTGCTGTTTTCTGTTACATTTCCGCTCTATTTATCGTACTTTTAATCTACTTACTCTGCAAATCAGAAAAAAATATAATTGTCCGCTCAAACTTTTTCACACCCCGCCTTAATTTTTTTTCCTTCCAAAAAGTAATAATATTATGATATTATTATTTAACCGCTAGCCCCCTCGTTCTCTTGTCATCACATGTCCGACGAACAATGAATTAAATTGGTCTGGCCTAAGTGATCATTTGTTGAATTTTGGCAAACACAACATTGGTAGTTTCAAGTCCTTGTCGCCATAGTTGGTACCTATTTTTAAGCCCATTATATCATTATTGCTAATGTAAATCCACCTGCTCATCTGTCTATAAAACTGGCATTGGTTGCTGTAAATCTCAAACACTTCAGTTAATATTTCTTCAGGATACTTATCAAGTTTTACTGCACCTTAAATGAAGCGTTACATTTCACTCTAGATAACCGACTCTTTACCATTAATTTTCAATGCGTCTCAAATAGCCCTTGTTTTCGAGCTTCTTACGATGAAAATATGAAATGAAAAATGGACATATAAACTGTTAAAAATTCATTACATCTTGTAAAGATTCCATCACGAGAGAAAGTCAAACTTAATGCCATATGATATATGTGCTGTATGTCATAGAGTCCTTGGGCTCGTAACATAAAGCTTGCTAAGATTTTGACTTAAGAAGGGTCATAAAACGTTTTAGGAACAATCTTAGGGCCTGTCTAAGTACTCCTTAAGTATGTCTTAAACGTTTACATAAAACGAACTAAGGTAGGTCTTAGCTATGTCAAACTTATGTTTAAAATATGTCTTATGAATCACCCCATATTTTTTCAGTTTATTTAAATATATTGCTACAAATGATTCTTTTATGTACATTCTTATTAAATATAACTATAATATATATTTTTAAAGTTGACGTCCTACAAGTACCTATCAAATTTAGTCGTGTAAGATTAGTTTTCGAATGAAAGATGTACTTCTGTTATGGAATACACTAAATACACAAAGGGTCGATTAGTGGTTCATTGTAACTGTTGACTACTGTTTATCCTTCGAAACTGCGATGTTTTCAGTTATCGTTGTTCTTTTGTTTTGACAAATTTTCACTTGCTATGTTATTTTCGTAGACATTACAAAATAACCAAACGTATGTCTACTTGAAATTAAAGCTCAAAATAAAGTACAAAACAGTTTGAACCCCCCTCCCGATGAAATAAATTTGACATATTCCTAATATAAAGGAAATTCAGTACATGTAACATCATTTACAACATGCAGAACAAAATAATGTGACAGGTCGATAAAGCTTTTCTGACAAGGCAACTGGTCCCATTCATGCTCTCTTTCAAAATTTTATTGTGTTGTATTTATTAATTTTCAATATCCGTCCCCCAAAATTATCTTGCTTTTTTCATTTCAGAATACAAAAGCTAAAATCTTTTAAATGTGACTTTTATTATGAAATAGATTTAATGATATATCTAAAAAAAAATTATCGATAAGATTAGAATTTAGATACAGAGTATATAAAAAAAATCTTCAGTCACAATAAATTTTCTTTCATGTAAAATAAAAAGAAATCAGACAGTTAATGGTCTGTACAAGATCCAGTTATATAGGTCAAACCCGATCCATTCGTCATTAGACACAGGCTCCATTTTCCAGTACAATGTTATCTACAGCAATGTCTCCTTTATAGCTGTTTTTCCTGTTCCCGCCAACTTTGGTTCTGATGATGATCTACAACAATTATCAAGTCACTTAATCCTTCTTATTTAATAACTATTGTACAAAATAGTATGCTGTTACACACACATACTTCTTAAAGTACTTGTCTACTTCTCAACAGTGCCTATTAGTACATTGTAACATACTGTTGAATCATCATTGTTCGTGGGGGACCAATGTTCGTGGCTTTCGTAGGTAACCCTGACCCACGAATTTACATCCCCACGAACGTATGGACAAACATTTGGTTTATCATTTGTTAAAAGTTATTTTCATCGTAAAATAATTGTTACCCTTGTGTCCGAGTGATTTTGCATAGAGAAGACAATCTGCATGCTAATTATTGACACAAAATCCAAAATTAAAAAAGATATATTAAGTAGGTGGAGTGGGTGCTAATTGATTGGTTTCAGGGTAAATGTTTTTAGTCAATTTTGGCATTGTTGTCGTAGTTCTCATGTCAGAGGGTGAATTATGATTAAAGTTATTAATTACCATTCCTATCATTCGGCTGTAATTTGTCGGTGCAAGCCGCCGGTACATTTTTGTTTTCACAAGAGAGATAACTTAAATAAGCATTATTGACCGTGTTATCCTTCTTTGTTTTAATGTTGGAGGGAATAAAATCAAAATGGAACTTGTTACCAACGAAATTACGTCCCCACGAACCAGGCAATTTTTGGCAACCCACGAACATTGACCCCCACGAATAAAAATGATTCCACAGGATACATATCAAGTTTCCCTCAGTTTTTACTAGATTTTAAATTGTTACACATACATACTTCTCAAGGTACTTAATTCTACTACGCAAAATACCAAATAATATCTGTAACACATACAAACTTCTACGATCACTTGAAGCTTCACCTTTGAGTACCACATCATGCAGTAAATCGCGCTTATAAAGTACAGAGTAAAGAGTCGGGAACGGATATAAATCAATCATCAGGTCACCTTAACCCTGTATCCTCAGTACAGTAGCAAATAGTATACTGTAGATTGGGAAATATTAACGGTGGTTTTAATTTCGCTATGTTCGCGATTTATTAATTTTCCGTGAAATTAAATCCATCGT